GGAGGGCACCACGCAAGGGTGAGGACCCACTGCCTCAGACCTCGCTCCCAGCCAGTCTTCCCCTGGGTCTGACTACACAGCTTATCAACTGTCTGGGAAGCTTGAAAATATCCCTCTTCCTTTGTCCTAGTCATTCCAAAATACATGCATGCATGCATACCTACCTAAAATAAAATACAAAACAAAACTCGAGAAACAGAACAGCACAACAGCAAACACACATGCTGGCGACCAGCTGCCTCACTGGGGCATTTGCCCTTTGCCCGTGACCTTCACTGCCCCAGGTTCTAACCTCCATGAGTAATTCCAGCTGCCTCAATAGCACTAAGTGTTGTCCCCAGAAACTTCTCCACTCCAGTGGGAACACACATGAGCCTTAGTCCTCAGTCCTTCACCTGCCTGATGCTTCACTCGGCTCTACACCAGGCAGCTGGGAAGCCCCAGGAACTGGAGGCAAAGGACTTGGACTTGGGGAGCTTCTCTGCTACTCCCCAAGGCAGGCTTTTCTCTCTCTGGTCATCTTGCCACCTGTGAAATGGGGACAACAGCACAAGCCACATCAAAAGCACAATGCAGGGTGGACTCGGTGCTCTTTGTGCTACAAATGTGGCCAGTCATGGACCCACAGCCCAGCTGTGGCAAGAGGGAAACCAGCTAGGGGATCTGAAATGTGTCCCCATGGGCCACACGGACAATCAGTCCCTGGCAGGTCAGGCAGGGACGGCCCAGCAACTCGTCCTAGCACCTAACTACACTGTGAACAAGCCTGGGGTGCTTTATGCACATTTCAGAAGTACAAGCATCTGTGAAGCGCTGAGCAGGATCCTGGCTGCCTGGAAACCAGATTTCTGGCTTGTTGGCTGGAACACATGTTGCATTTGAACTGAAGAGGCCGTTTTTCCTTTCTGGTGTGTGTCCATAAGGATGGGTGTGTACGTGCACATGCACATACGTGTGTGGACATGCACAGAACTGATGTGTGTCTGATGTGCACGTGCATTTCTGTGTGTGCATTTCAAGATGTGCACTTCCCCATCCACGGGAGGTTTGTGCCAAGTATGCTGGTACAGATTTGGCTGATGAGAAACACTGTGATCTGCCAGGGAGCCCACTTGTCCCAGGTGTTTGGGCCGTGAGAAGGCCGTGGGAAGTCAGTGTATCCCTCCATCAGTTAATTAGATGTTGGATAGCTGACAAGGTTGGTGTCACCCAGAACTTCATGGAGATGGAAGTGTTACTGACCCTGAGACTGGGCTTTGCTGATTTTTCATTCACCTTTTCTCAATCACGCTGAAGTCATCCCTGGAATAGGAACAGGGTGTGCAGTGACTGAAGCCTCAGTCTTGATTTATCCAGCTCTAAGTCCTTAGAACTGAGCAGACGAGTCTTGCCCTAGTGATAGAGCACCTTGTATAGCTTAGTGCTCTGTTCAAGGCTCAGGGCTTACGTGCCTCATTCACTCTGTGGTTATACTGAACCTCTACCTCCTTCTTACTGAAATGGCCACTCACAGAAACACACGGGCAGGGGGAACAGGATTTGCTAACCCCTTTTGGGGGCCAGAACTGGAACTCAGGTTCCCCCTGCGTTGGGAGCTTCTGCATCCTGCTGTCAGAGGTGCACACACTGGCACTTGTCTCCTGATGCTCCCGAGATGGTGCTGTGTAGGCACCTGTGCAGGGATCCCCAGGGGCCCTCCAGGAGGGACCGGAGGGCCTCTTTGAGACTCCACCGCTCTCTCTGCAGAGTGGCGACAAGGAAGCGGGGCCAGGATGATCCTGCAGGATGAAGACATCACCACCAAGATCGAGAATGACTGGAAGCGGCTGAACACCTTGGCCCACTACCAGGTGAGGGGAGGGGCACAGGGGAGAAGTTGGGGCCAACCACAGTCCCTCACCTAGAAGTCTCAATCCTGGAATAACAGGGTCACCCCAAAGCTAGTCACCAAACTCCAAATCCCTTGTTCACCAGCAATTCATATTCCCTCAGTGACTCAGGGGAAATTGATGTCACCCAGCCAAGGAACCGGGGAGCCCGCCGTCTTTGGAGGCAGCATGGTGACCTGCATGTCTCCCGCGGGTGTAGGCAGAGTCCACATGGAAAGGTCCTCCTGGAGGTTCCGCTGGGCACGAAGGCGGGGTGGTCGCCCAGGGAAGCACTGGGGTGGAGACTGCCAGAGGGGCTCAGAATACCACTCAGTATTCAGGTTTGTGTCTCATTTTGCTCTAAGGAAAAATGACAGCCTCTGAAGTCCCATCATTCACCTGCAAGGCACCAATGGCTGCTTAGAACCAAGTTAATCCTGATTTTATCTGTAATTTCTGAGGTGGCAGAGTGCTGTGCCCAGGTCCTTAGAAGCCTTTTCCCTGTAGGTGCCAGATGGTTCTGTGGTGGCTTTAGTGTCCAAGCAGGTGACAGCCTATAATGCAGTGAACAACTCCACAGTCTCAAGGACCTCAGCAAGTAAATATGGTGAGAGCTCACTGACTATCCTTGGGGGCCGGGATGTCCTGAGCAGCTGGAAGGCAGCAGCGCCGGGCGGGGAGGAGGGTGAGTCAGGCAGACAGAGCCTTAGTGGGGTGGGCAGGGAAGGCGAGAGGATCCTGGTTCCAGTTGGCCCCTCTGATGCCTGAATATCATCAAGCAAAAGAGGAAAATCCAGCCTTCAGGAGCGTCTTAGAGTCTGTACGACGCTTTCCCTTTTGTGATAGTTATTATCTCACATCACGTTCATAACAATCCGGTGAATTAAATAATTATTATTTCCCCCAATTATGCAAATTAGTAAATTATAACTCAGATACACAGAGGCTAAATGACTTTTAAAAGTCACACTGCTATCATGCAGAGGAGGGAAGGTACAAACCCGGGCTGTGCCTGCGGTGCAGGGAGAGGGTGCTGGATATGGGGGTGAGACCAGAAGGTGCCCTGCCCTGCCACCACCTGTGTGCTCTGGGGCCAGACATCAGGTTGCTCTGAGCTTTGGTTCTCTTATAAGCAAAACAAGGATTGAAAAAGCTCACAAATTCACAGATTCTTCTGCGTAACAAATAGGTGAATATATAGAATGGTGCCTACGTGCAGTAGGACCATCACCTTCTGTTCCCGCCCAGCTCCCATTTCACTAGAGCTCACAGACACTGGCAGGAGCTTCAGGAAATAAATGGAAAAGATTGGCCCAGGCCAGAAGGGAGGAGGTAGGCGAGCGGGCTACCAGGGGATTATTCCGCTGGACAACGTTTATTAAGACAGGCTACCTGCTCTTATGTGTGTACTTAATTGGCTACATAGGACACGTCCTAAGACAGAACTTGAGAACTCATGCAGGGAAAAGTGTAAAGAAAGTACAAGCTTATATTTTTACAAATTGAATAATTAAGGGTGGGCACATCGCCAAGTATAGGAGGGCCAGAGTGGGAATCTGAGTGAGTGGAGAAGCTGCAGATAGTTTCTTGGTGGC